AGCACCAGAATTCGAACCGATTCGAAACATCGGTAAAGTTCGAAAGTTTGCTGTTGGCACTGACTTCGAAGCGTATGCCGAACAACTGGAATTATTTTTCGTAGCAAATAGCGTGACTGATGCTAAACAAAAGAAAGCTGTCCTGTTGACAAATAAGCCTGCAGAAACCTACCAGTTAACAAAGGACTTATTTGCTCCACATCTGCTAAAAGAAGACACGATCACGTACGAAGCGATAGTCGAGCGACTTCAGAAACAGTTAAAGCCACAGAAGTCAGCATTTGTAGCCAGCTACGAGTTTGATAATCGAGCAAGAAACGCTGGAGAGACGGTGAATGAATACGTAGCTGTTTTAATACATTTAGCTACAGAATGTAAGTTCAACGAAACGATGCGTTGAGAGCGACTTAGAGATCGGTTAGTGTCTGGTATTCGTGACAGAAAAATAATGTCAGAACTCTTAAAACTTAAGCTTGAAGAACTGACCTTTGACACAGCCGTTGCTAAATGCTTCGCTATTGGACAATCATGTAAGCACGTTGAAACTATGCAAGGGGGGAGAGATTCAAACCATACGCATAAGGAATCAGATTCAGTGAATTTGTTAAATAAACCTGAAGAGCAAAACAGGAATACGATGCCAAGAAAGGAAGGGACGCCTCTCCTTACCCTGAAGGCCCCAAGTGTTACCGTTGTCATGCTGATCATCAGCAAATATCCTGACCCTTTAAAAATGCAATTTGCCATTATTGTAACAGCGGTCATATTCGGAGAGTTTGTAGAAAACGGAGCAAAGAAACACATAGTTTCAAACCACAGTAAATCACAATGATGATGATGATGATAGTGACAGCGATGATTACATGGCTAGTTTAGAAATAAATAAAGTGGGAAACAAAGATAACGTAATATGGGTCACCCCCAAAGTTGAAGGAACACCCTTAAGAATGGAGCTAGACACACGCTCTGCAGTTTCAGTTATCCAGTATCAGTTATACAGAGCTAAGTTTGGTCACATAAAGCTACAGACAAGTCAAATCACACTTAGAACTTACAAGGGGGAAAAGCTGTATCAAAAATTGAAAATCAACTGTAGAGTTAGTCTCGACGGCCAGACAAGACAGCTAGATATTCAAGTTATTGAGTCCCCAGGACCGGCGTTATTTGGGCGTGATTAGCCTTCTGTAATCAAACTAGACTGGAGCGAGATCAAACCTCTTAAAGTAAACCAAGCGACGGACGATGAGAAATAGGGTAAGGTAAATCACCTTTTGAAAAGGTATAAAAGTGTGTTCGATGATGATTTGAGCACCTTGAAGGGACACCAAGCTGACGTCAAATTAAAAGAGAGCTGTCAACCCCAATACTGTAAGGCACGGCCGGTGCCATATGCCTTGCGACCTAAGGTAGAAGCCGAGGTAACACGCCTTGAAAAGGAAGGGATTCTAAACAAGGTGGAACATAGTGAGTGGGCAACCCTATACTGGACCTGTGGTCAAACGAAATGGCTCAGAACGAATATGTGGAGATTTCAAAGTCTCTGTTAACCCAGTGTTAATCGCAGAACAATATCCTTTGCCCCATATCGAGGATATTTTTGCCAATCTGGCTGGGGGTAAGCATTTTACCAAATTAGACTTACGCCAAGCATATCACCAAATGGAGGTCACTGAAGAGACACGAAAGTATTTGACTATTAACACACATAAGGGTCTATTTCAGTATCAGCGGTTAGTTTTCGATGTGACGTCAAGCCCAGCAATTTGGCAACGTGCCATGGACCAGGTGTTACATGGTTTACCTGGAACACAATACATCCTTGACGACATGATAATTACCAGAAAGTCCAATGAAGTGCACTTAGAACGGTTAGAGGAAGTTCTAAAACGATTACAAGAGGCAGTCTGAGAGCGAACAAAGAGAAGTGTGCATTCTTCAAGTAGAAAGTTGTGTTTTGTGGCCATGAAATTGATGCCAATGGTTTACACAAAACCCAAGAGAAGATCAAGGCAGTAGTGAACGGTCCCAGGCACGAGAATGTGTCACAAGTCCGATCCTTCCTAGGACTGGTAAATTACTATAATCGGTTTCTCCCCAACGCAGTGTCAGTTCTTCGCCCACTACACGTATTGCTTCAGAAAAGTCACAAGTGGAAGTGGACTGAACAATGTGAGAAAGCTTTTAAAAATGCCAAGCATTTGATAACCTCTGACCTAATCGTAACCCACTACGACACAACGCTTCCAGTTAAGATCGCATGTGATGCTTCACCAACCGGAATTGGTGCAGTGTTGTCGCATGTTATGGCGGATAGAAGTGAAAGACAAGTGGCTTTTGCGTCCAGATTCCTCACCAAGCGGAGCGCAAGTACCCCAGATTGACTCACACTGGTTAACAGTTTGTAGCGTGAGTTGGACGTGTTTTTATCAGCTCCGCTATTAATCGTTATATTCACTCGAATTCTCACAAAACATGGCTGTAGATCTTCGATCTAACTTAAAGGCCAGTGGAGAAAGGTTCTACTGGGATAGTACAATAGTTAAATTGAAGGAATTTGTCTCAAAGGAGTTAAAACTCTCAGGAAGTTGGACGTCCCCTGGCGGAGAAGTAAAGTTATTCACAGCTGATACTGTAAGCGTGAAATGGCACGGAAAAGCCATTAAAACTATCACATAGGCTGGAATGTCTAAGATTCTGACATCTTTATGTGAAAGTTCAGTCGAAAATCAAGGCAGCAATACAGAGAGATGTCAAGACCATTTCAATAATGACGACAACACCGAAATAAGCATGGATGCCACCTCAGGTAAAAGGCTGAATACAACTGATTTATATATATATATATATATATATATATATATATATATATATATATATATATATATATATATATATATATATATATAATGACGAAAAATGCTAAAATTGCAGCTAGGATTCATATTTATATATTAAAAGATTAAAAGTTTCTTGTCTTATGGCTAAATGGGTGGACGAGAGGTAGGTAACCGCGAGAGAACTGGGTCTAGTTGCGTGTTTATTTCGTGTTGCTGGTACACGCAAGAACAACTCACTTAGTGAAAATTTGTGTAATTTTCAAACATGCGGATCTTTATTAATACTCATTCTTACAAGTGAATATTTATATAAAGAACAAGTATTATTTATCTGCATGAAATTATGTTAATCGATGTTTTAATCGCAAAAGGTATACCTTGAGGTATAGAATTTGAAATCTTGTATTTTCTTTACTTTACTTTGATTCAATCATTTACTGCACAAGTATTTAACAACTGTGTGGTTCCATAATACTGGTGGGAATTCCTTCGGAAAATACAAGCTTCAAACATATCATGCTGTTTAAAAAATACTCTATCATACCATAAAACCTCTATGAAAGTGT